TCAAAATTGAAGTCATTAAAACTTGACACAGGATAGAATAACAGACCTTTAGATAAGAGACAGGACTCGCCCTTTGTGATGTGTCGAGTTAATAGATTAACTACCGGACTCGTCTGCCCGTGCGTTGGCGGTTGCTGCATGTCTGGTATCCGCAACCTCTTGTTGCCCCTCCTGGTTCTGCGCCGTCTCTGACCCTTTGAAAAAGTGTTTTTCTACTGTCAGCAACAAGGGCTGTGGAGCGACCAGATGTACCGACTTCGCTTCGCTGTCTGTGGAAGGATTCTCGGTTAGTCGCTCACTCTCAGACGAAATCTGGGGGCTTCTTTTTGTTGGCTTCTGGGGTAGAGGTCGAGTACGTAATCTCCTCCTGGGCCTAGAGTTAGCCATGGGTAAACTCTACCTTCTTGGTAATCCTGGTTTACCTGTTTAAATTTGTCCCTTTTTAGACTGCTTCTGTCTTATGGTGTATGTGGCAATCTCGTTGTCAATCTCCGGCAAGGCAGAGGTCTGATTTTCTGTATCTTGTAAGTTCACGTTTCACTTGACACAGCTGAACCTTGACCTCTTCAATGACTAGTAACATATAGTTCAGTGAGTTCTGGGTGGAAACCTCACACCATTTTTCACAGAAATCTTGTTTATGACGTCCAATGTGGGCTGATTTCTAATCCGGAAACCCCTCGGAATTAATTTTGCTCTGTAGTACTCAGTCTGGCCATGCAGCTCCAGATCAACCTGTCTTTTCGTCAAGCATTTGATTTCCCTTAATCGATCAGTGGCTGTATCTGATCCAAATGTTTTTTCAGTGTCAGGTGGGAAGAGGATTGCATCAATCTCTTCCTGATTGTAAATGCATCCAAAATTGCTGGATGATGCAATATCCTCAGATGCCATTTGGTTAGAGACAATCCTCACGATTGGATCAATCGGTGAGTGTGATGTTCCGGTTTTCTACAGGTACATCTAGTACATACCCTCATGGTGGGCAGCCAGCAGGGGTGCTGTATGGGAGGCCAGTCCAGAATGCCAGTGTCCAATCCAAACACACATGTTCCTGCGTTAAAAATGGCTGTGTGTATAAGTGGGTGCTGCAGCGACCGTTGGCTGGCAAGGAAAAATGTCACCAGCACACCGAGGATCACCAGTATGGGTCCAAAGGTTTTAATGAACAATCACATAGTTACAGCAAGGCAACGTTTTGGAGTCTACACTTCAATCATGAGGAATCATCATAACCAAAGTTCATCTGCGAACCAAAACGCACAAATATGATGTGTTAATATTAAGTCCCCTCGGTTGTGTTGTGTCGAGGTTATGGATCCAATATGCTTCAGGATGGAGGAGGAAGTCCTCTTCTGTGAGGACACCTGATGAGAATCCAGTCAGACAATGCCACAGCTGTGGCCTGTATCAATCATCATCGTGTGGGCCTGTTTCCTGTGTTGCCCACCCCTCAGTTGGACTGCCTTTGTAAATCCCATTTGTAATGACCTGAAGAAGCCTCTGTGTGATCAGAAAACTGTATTTTTTGAGTTAGCAGTAAAATCCATTTATATAGGGGATGTCCCTCCAGCTTATATCTTTTGCCAGTGTCCAAAACCTGAAGGTAACCATTTCGCTGCCAGAGCAATTTTTGCACACGTGAGCTCTCCACATGTTCACTAATTGTGAGAAAACACTGTATATCTTCCACCAGCCACACTCTGAGGTTTACCAAAAGAGATGTGACTATCTAGTGAGAAGTCAAATGGCGCTTGTTGTAACAATAGGTATAAGCCAAATGGGACTCTGCTGTTGACAACATGATTTTCCTCTCCATCTCCATCACTGTCACAGCATACAGTGAGGAACAGAAGTATTTGAACACCCTGCGATTTTGCAAGTTCTCCCACTTAGAAATCACGGAGGGGTCTGAAATTCACATTGAAGGTGCATTCCCACTCTGAGAGACAGAATTTAAAAAAAAAATTCAGGAAATCACATTGTATGATTTTTAAAGAATTTATTTGTCTTGCACTGCTGAACATAAGTATTTGAACACCTAAGAAACAGCAAGAATTCTGTCTCTCAAAGACCTGTTACTGTGCCTTTTAAAGAGCTCAGACAGGTACTACTAATTTAGATTGAGTGGAGTAGAGGTGGACTTTTTAAAGACACCTGTCCACCCCACAGTCAGTCAGACGCCAGCTACTACCATGGGCAAGACCGAAGAGCTGTCAAAAGACATCAGAGACAAAATTGTAGACCTCCACAAGGCTGGAAAGGGCTACGGGACAATTGCCGAGCAGCTTGGTGAAAATAGATCAACTGTTGGAGCAATTGTTAGAAAATGGAAGAGGCTAAAGACGACTGTCAGTCTCCCTCGGACTGGGGCTCCATGCAAGATCTCACCTCGTGGGGTATCACTGATAAGAAAGGTGAGGAATCAGCCCAGAACTACAAGGGAGGAGCTGGTCAATGACATGAAGAGAGCTGGGACCACAGTTTCAAAGGTCACTGTCGGTAGAACACTACGCCGTCATGGTTTCAAATCATGCATTGCAAGGAAGGTTCCCCTGTTCAAGTCATCACATGTCCAGGTCCATCTGAAGTTTGCCAATGACCATCTTGATGATCCAGAGGAGGCATGGGAGAAAGTCATGTGGTCAGATGAGACCAAAGTAGAACTTTTTGGTCTAAACTTCACTCGTTGTGTTTGGAGGAAAAAGAAGGATGAGTTGCATCTCAAGAACACCATCCCTACTGTGAAGCATGGGGGGGGGGTAACATCATGCTTTGGGGGTGCTTTTCTGCTAAGGGGACAGGACGACTGCACTGTATTAAGGAGAGGATGAATGGGGCCATTTAAAGTGAGATTTTGAGCAACAACCTCCTTCCCTCAGTCAGAGCATTGAAGATGGGTCATGGCTGGGTCTTCCAACATGACAACGTCCCGAAGCACACAGCCAGGATAACCAAGGAGTGGCTCCGTAAGAAGCATATCAAGGTTCTGGAGTGGCCTAGCCAGTCTCCAGACCTAAATCCAATAGAACATCTTTGGAGGAAGCTGAAACTCCATGTTGCTCAGCGACAGCCCCGAAACCTGACAGATCTAGAGGAGATCTGTGTGGAGGAGTGGGCCAAAATCCCTGTTGCAGTGTGTGCAAACCTGGTCAAGAACTACAGGAAATGTTTGATCTCTGTAATTGCAAACAAAGGCTTCTGTACCAAATATTAACACTGATTTTCTCAGGTGTTCAGATACTTATGTTCAGCAGTGCAAGACAAATTAATTCTTTAAAAATCATACAATGTGATTTCCTGAATTTTTTTTTTTTAATTCTGTCTCTCAGAGTGGGAATGCACCTACAATGTAAATTTCAGACCCCTCCATGATCTCTAAGTGGGAGAACTTGCAAAATCGCAGGGTGTTCAAATACTTCTGTTCCTCACTATATGCATAAAAAGAGCACAAAACCGCTCCCAATAGTGTAAATCCGGATAGCACTTTTATTTAAAAACGGTTGAAAAGACTTACATTGGCACTGTGCATAGTATTTCACATAAGACTACAATTCCCAAAGCATGCATGTACAGTGACTTCTCAGCTTCTGGCTCCTCCAAATGAGTTTAATCAAATATGATGCCAATCAGGGTGCCCCTGATGATGTCATATTTGAAGAAACACTCCTGATGTCATATTTCACTCCAGGAAGAAAAAAAATTAAAGACCCTATCAAAATGATCTAGAAAAAAAAATATACCTCCCTCAGAAAAATGTATAACTAAAACCCTAAACCCTAACCCTATAATACTACACTAGAAAGATGTGAAAGAAGATGAAAAAAAACCTAAACAATAACACACTCATTCCTACCCATAATAAAAAAGGATATGGGGGAGGGGGGCAGCTGATCTATTTTAGTATGAATACGATGGGTGGTACACAATAATATGTAACCCACCACAATGCAATTCACTATAATAGAGTGCTACACAGCACAGTGAATACAGAGGAGTATACTCCACTCTTTGTAGCACACAATACTGCATTTCACTGTAATGTAACAGTAGTACTATGAAACACGTTATATAGAATTGTATAGCTCTGTATGTAGCACTGTTCAGCAGTACCCATCTCTCAGCTGTGCCTATCTCATCCAACTGTAGCACACACTGACCAAAGACTCCTGGGAAATCAACACTGTGCATCACCCAAAAAAAAAAACCATACCCACAGTGAAGCATGGTGGTGGCAGCATTATGCTTTGGAGTTGTTTTCCTTCAGCTGGCTTTAGTCAAGGCAGAGGAATGCAGTAGCTCCATCCGAAAAAAGATCAAAGTTTTGGAATGGCCCAGTCAGAGACTGGATTGAATCGAATTTGAAAATATGTGGGATGACCTGATAAGGGCTGTGCACAGGAGGTGCCCTCGCATTCTATAAGATTTAGAGTGCTTTTGCAAGGAAGATTGGGCAAAGATTCCCAAGGCACGATGTGCCATGCTGATAGACTCCTAACCTAAAAAAATGCTGTCATAAAATCGAAACCTGCTTCAACAGAGTGTTAGTTTAAGGGTGTGAATGTTTATGCAACCACATTATTGTAAATTTTCTATTTTTTTTCCCCCCCTTTAAAGTTTGTTTTTAACTGAATTGCACAGAATATAGGTCACAATAAAGGTAAAAAAAAAAATCAGGAGAGATTTGGCTTGGTGTGATTTCTTTACATCTCAAAAACCTGGCATTTTTTAGAGGTGTGTAGAGTGTTTATATGCACCGCACTTACTTATGAAATGCTCAACTTTTGCATGAACTTTGTTTTTGGAATTACTAGAGCAGAAATAGCAAGAGCTCCACATTTAGTTTCTCTGAGGCAACCGTAGTGGTTTCTTTAAATGTTTAATATGCAGTTCCAAAAATAATGCCAGATAATGTTACAGTTTCTAAATGTATTTTTTTTTTTTTTTTTGCATCTCAGTAGTTTTGTATATTTATTTAACCTGACCTTATTTTTCATCAGAAAATGGCAAGCTGTATGTGTTTGGCAGCAACATCTATGGACAGCTGGGTATCGGCTCTGAAAATGTCATCAGCACACCAAGATGTGTCAAAGGTTTGTTCCAAAATTTACCTCATGCTTTGTGTTAGAAATTACAGGTGATATTTTTTTTTTATTATTTTTTTATTCTCAAAATAATATGTCCAACATATTTTTCCTCTAATTCTGTCATTTTTTCTGTTCAGTTCTTCCAGTGTTAATGTAAGCTTTAGCAATACTTTTTCTGCCAAGCCGGACAGGAAAGGCAAATGCTTTGTTAAATTGTTACCTTTTCATGGCTGGCTGAGAAATCTTATAAATGCAAACTTTTAGATTTACTGAAGCCCCTTTGTTCTGTTAATATGCCCGACAAAGGGACTTTGGTTCTATAAAAGCCTGCTTTATTTACACTGCTCAGAAAAATTAAAGGAGCACTGTGAAAACACATCAGATCTCAATGGGGAAAATATCATGCTGGATATCTCTACTGATATGGACTGGGCAAACTGTTGGGAACATAAGGATGCCCCATTGTTTGATGGAAATGAAAATTATCAACCTACAGAGGACTGAATTCAAAGACACCCAGAAAATCAAAGTGAAAATATTATGCAGCAGGCTAGTCCATTTTACTGAAATTTCATTGCAGCAACTCAAAATGGTGCATGACAACGTCGGGTTTGCTCCTAATGAGACAACGGATGGTGTACTGGGGTATTTCCTCCCAGATCTGGATCAGTGCATCACTGAGCTCCTGGACCGAAACTTGGTATCCCAGAGGTGTTCTATAGGATTTAGGTCAGGCGAGCATGGGGGCCATTCAATGGTACCAATTCCTTTACCCTCCAGGAACTACCTGCATACTCTTGCCACATGAGGCCGGGCATTGTCGTGCACCAGGAGGAACCCAGGACCCACTGCACCAGCGTAGGAATTGACAGTGCGTCCAAGGATTTCATCCTGATACCTAATGGCAGTCAGGCTGCCATTGTCTAGCCTGTAGAGGTTTGTGCATCCCTCCATGGATATGCCTCCCCAGACCATCATTGACCCACCATCAAAACTGTCATGCTGAACGATGTTACAGGCAACATATAATGTTCTCCACGGCTTCTCCAGCCCCTTTCACATCTGTCACATTTGCTCAGGGTGAACCTGCGCTCATGAGCACCAGTGGTAGACCTACCAGTTTTGGTGTTGAATGGCAAATGACAGTCGAGCTCTATGGTGTCGGGCTGTGAGCACAGGGCCAACTAGAGGATGTCAGGCCCTCAGGCCACCCTCACGAAGTCTTTCTGATTGTTTGGTCAGAGACACTCACACTGGTGACCTGCTGTATGTCATTTTGTTGGGCTCTGGCAGTGTTCATCCTGTTCCTCCTTGCACAAAGGAGCAGATACCAGTTCTGCTGATGGGTTAAGGACCTTCTATGGCACCCTGTCCAGCTCTCCTAGAGTAACTGCCTGCCTCCTGGAATCTTATCCATACTCTTGAGACTGTGCTGGGAAACACCACAAACTTTCTGGCAGTGGCACGTATTAATGTGCCAACCCGGAGGTGTTGGACTGCTTTTGCTACCTCTGTAGGGTCCAATATCTCAAGTTACCAGTAGTGATTCTGACCCTAGCCATATGCAAAACTAGTGAAAAACAGTCAAAAAAATGAGTAGGGAAAAAAATGTCAGTGGCCTCCACCTGTAAAACCATTCCTGTTTTGGGGGTCATCTCATTGTTGCCCATCTAGTGCACCTGTTGTTAATTTTCATTAACACCAAAGCAGCTGAAACTGGTTAACAACTCCCTTTGCTACTCAACTGACCAGATCAATATCCCAGGAGTTTAATCGACTTGATGCTATACTCTGATTTAAAAAGTGTTCTTTTAATATTTTTGAGCAGTGTATGTATTATAATAATGTTTTTTTTATTAGCCATGCCTTTCTGTCCATGACCGCACATCCCATTTTCTTGACAGAAGTCATAGGGTCATGAATAAGGAAAAATCTCACCTGTGAAGTCACAGACAGAAAAAAATACTGCACCTACAGAATATTTAGCTCTTTTCAAATCATTAAAAACCAAAAATAGCTGACGTTAGGATTTAAAGCTAATAGTAGATGATATTAGAAAACAAACAGTTTGACGATGTCAGATGACTGCAGTAAACTTTCAGCAGGTCAGCATGGCTAACCCTGCCATGTTCTCATAATAAACTTAGAAACACATCAGTTAAAACTGGGTGAAGTACAGGAGTTTCCTTGCGCAAGATTTGGCATACTTGGTATTCTCAGATTCTCTCCAGAAGTATACGTCATCCTCTCCAGCGAAGAAGCCGGGTTTTTAGGTAAGCATAGTTTCCAGCTTTTGGCCTTTTTCACATAGGCGAACTTAAGAGTACTTTTATGAGCCCTGTGTTTGCCCGCATGGAGATGCATAGATGTTCTGTGCATCCCTGTGCAGGCAGTCCCATTCATGTCAGTTGAAATGCAGCGGCTTCATAGACACAGGCTGTGCTCCCAATTTGACAGCCGTGTGGGTGCGGGCGCATTTAGAGACCTGCACCCACATGGCCTGTGCTTCACTATTTGGGCAAACATAGCTTTCCTTTAACATTTTTGCTGCCAGAGCCATTTTTGCATTTTTTGCACACATGTTTAAAAGATCCTTTTGAGCTTAAAGCTTCCCTAAATCCTCCACACATTATATACATACTTACTAACTTCACAGATTTGCTGGGACAGTTTTTTTTTAAGTTAGCCGTCCTACAATGCTACAATGTCTTTATCACTGAGCTGTGTCCTGGGAAGTGAGCTCTGCCTCCCTCCTAGCAATGAGTGAATGAATGAATGAAACCTTAGAGTCCCACTTCCTTATTACAGTGACCAGAGGCAGGACACTATTTCTCAAAGTCTGTCTTCATTAGTATACTCTGTGGCCCTGAGCAGAGTCACCTTCGGCACTTTACTGGGTACCTCCACCATTGGAGTATTCAATGGGTTACATAGTTAGTCTGGTTGAAAAAAGACAAACGTCCATCCAGTTAAACCAAAAACAAGTTATAATCCTATACCCACAGTTGATCCAGAGGAAGGCAAAAAAAACCCCAGCAAAGCATGATCCAATTTGCTCCTGCAGGGGAAAAATTTCCTTCCTGATCCCCCGAGAGGCAATCGGCTATTTCCTGGATCAACTTTACCTATAAATGTTAGTATCCCGTTATAATGTGTGTATCTAGGAAATAATCCAGGCCTTTTTTAAAGCAATCCACTGAGCTGGCCAGAACCAACTCCTGAGGGAGTCTATTCCAGATTTTTACAGCTCTTACTGTAAAGAAACCTTTCTGTATTTGGAGATTAAATCTCTTTTCCTCCAGATGTAAAGAGTGCCCCCTTATCAATTTGGTTGCCCTTCTCTGTACATTCTTCAGTTCCCCAATGTTCTTTTTGTAAATTGGTCTTCCAGATGAGGTCTTACTAATGATTTTTTCAGGGGTAAAATGATATCTCTCTCTCTGCAGTCTATACCTCTTTTAATACAAGAGAGGATTTTGCTCACTTTAGAAACTGCAGCTTGGCATTGCATGTCATTATTAAGCTTGTGATCTAACAGACCTCCCAGATCCTTCTCCACCATTGATTCCCCCAGTTGTACCCCTCCTAGTATGTATGATGCATGCATATTCTTAGCCCCCAAGTGCAGAACCTTACATTTATCAACATTAAACCTCATTTGCCACATAGTTGCTCAATTAAACAGTGCATTGAGGATAGCTTGTAAGTTGGAGACATCCTGTAAGGACGTTATTCCACTGCACAGCTTGGTGTCATCTGCAAAGACTGAAACAGTATTTTTAATTCCAGACCTTATATGGTTTGTAAATGTATTAAAAAGTAAGGGTCCCAACACTGAACCTTGGGGTACACCACTGACAGCCCTAAACTATTCAGAGTATGAATCATTAACCACTGCTCTCTGAATACGATCCTTTAGCCAGTTTTCTATCCATTTACATACAGATTTTTCCAAGCCTGTAGACTTTACCTTGCACATTAGCCGTGTGTGGGGAACAGTGTCAAATCCTTTTGCAAAATCCAAATATACCACGTCCACCGCTCCCCTCTGTCCAAGGTTTTCAAAAAGCGTTTTTCAAAACGTTTGTTGGCGTTCACTAAAAAACGCAATCAAAAAGTTATTTTATGACATCAATGGAGAAACGGATTCCCCACTGACAGCTAAATGTAAAAGAAAGAATTGCTAGCAATTACAAATTAAGAAATAAAATGGTGTGGGGTCCACCCACTAATCCATACCAGGCCGTCCAGGTCTGCTATGGATTTTGAGGGGAACCCCCACACCAAAATGAAAAAAAAAAATGGATCCCCCCTCCAAAATCTATACCAGACCCTTATCTGAACATGCAGTCCAGCACGTCAGGAAAGAGGTAAGAACACACTCCTGAACCATACCAGGCCACATGCCCTCAACTTGGGGGAGGTGCTTTGGGGCAGGGGACTGCCTTTGTCAGGAGCGGAGACTTTTTTTTTTCAGGTCAGCTGTGGGCATCGTGATTGACAATGGATCTACACTGGGGGCCATGTTTTAAAATTTTGTTTTTCCTAATAAAGACTTGTCAAAAATGGCTTCCTGTGGTTTTTTTTTTTTTGTGCTGCATTTTTACCATGTGCCCCATACTCATTCACATGGGGGGGCAGGATCTGTGGGCCAGATTCCGATAAGGCCCCCACCCTCAGACCCGCACAACCACTACCATTGGGACAAAGTGCTTTGGGGGGGTTCCTTGCATGGGGACAAGGTGCATTGCATCCCCCCACCCAAAAGTCCCCGCACATGTTGGGGGCATGTGGCCTGGTATGGTTTAGGATCTGGGAACGCCATTTTTTTTTCTTACTTTTTAATTGCTGGCAATTCTGTTTTGTTACATTTTGCTGTCAGCGGGGAATCCCACTCACAGCTGATTACTCATTGGTTATTAAGAATGTGGTGGCCGCTCCCGCTCCTTAACAACCATGACAGTTACTGGTTTGTAAAGATGCCGGCAGCCACCCACTTCTTAACA